TTTTTTTTTTTTTTTTTTTTTTTTTATGAGTTTTCCCTTAGAGTTTTAAAGGGCATTTAGTAGGGAGAGGTTTCTACACCTTTGTAAAAAATGATATCAGAGTCAGACACAGACGGTGTTTCAGCTCATTGGATCTCGAAGGGGGTAGATTGTGAGATTCCACATGGAGCGGGAAGTTCCAGCTCATCTAGTAAGAAGCTGGAATAGTCTAAACCTACGACTAACAAATATGATTTTTTTGGGTTTTCCCTTTCGGACTTTCTCTCAAGCTTTTAAGATGTGTTTGCTTAGATATTGTCTTTTTTGACTTTTTTCTTTTGGGTTTTCCCTTAAGGTTTTAAAGCGCATCTAGTAGGGAGAAGTTTCTACACCCTTATAAAAAATGATATCAGAGTTAGACACGGGCGGTGTTCCAGCTCACTGAGCCTTGAAGGGGGTGGATTGTGAGATCTCACATCGATTAGAGAGAGAAGTGAGTGTCAACAAGGACGATAGGCTCGAAAGGGGTGAATTGTGAGATCCCATATCGATTGGGGAGAAGAACAAAACATTCTTTATAAAGATGTGAAAGTATCTTCCTAACAGATCATTTTAAATAACCTTAAGAGGAAGTTCAAAAGGAAAAACCTAAGAGAGCCATGTCGGTTCTCAAACTACCTTATTTTATTCATAAGGGTCCCAAGAGAACTATCTTTTTCTATTAATAAGGGTTCGAAGAGAGCGACCTTTACAAAAAAAGAAAAAAAAAAACATCCTCAACAAACCCAAGACAGAGTCAAGAGGGGGCAAAACTAGGGAAAGTGTTATGTTGGCTTGAAGAATCATTTATTGGTATTTATGGAAACATTGATTGATATTGACTTCTGAAGACGGCAGTGCCAAAGACTTGTTCTCACCGTGTTTAAGGTGCCTGCATTTTCTTCTCCTAACTATCTCTATTACTTGCCGCTCTCACTTTTCTGCTGCTATAAATGAAATCAATTAAGGCAACTAATTTAGTCTTCATATTTTTACATCTTCTCGGTCTAAACTAACATAATTTGGTAACAACATAACTCTCTAAGGTTGTTCATGGACACAGGTAAAGTGTTCAAGGAACAAAAGACATGCTTAGCGAGGCTCAAGTAAGCTATAATCATTACTTACAATTTCTTGGTTAAACTCAGACGAAGAGGTGGCATAAGAAGTAGAAGGAGTGGACCTCTTATCAAGGAAAGCCGGCTGCTTAGGATTTGGAAGAGAAGCAGGATCACTGCCAGAGCTCAGCATAAACACTGCATTTGACATGGTGGGGCGGTCCTTAGGGTCTTCTTGCACACACAGCAACCCCACAGCCACACATTTAACAGCTTCACTTGGACTGCACCTTTCTCGCACCGTCGAGGCGACGATCTCCATTGCTCTGTGTTCTCTCCACAACTTCCATACCTGCGTACACCCAGTTCAAACTAAAGTAAAAGGAGTTTAGGTAAGAACCAACTTTGTTGAAGAAGAATTGTTCTCACATATCCAAGAAGGTTCAGTGCTTCTTTGGACTGGTAGAACCCTGTGTTCTTTCTCCCACTAACAATCTCCAACACAACTATACCAAAACTGAACACGTCTGATTTCACTGAGAATGATCCATCCAATGCATATTCTGGTGGCATGTACCCGCTGCAATATCCAACAAGAACAATTCACAACTTGAATAGAGATTTGAATATGAGTACAAGGATGGAGATTTACATACAAGGTTCCAACAACTCTGTTGGTGATTCCCTCTATTTGATTGCCATCAAAGATTCTTGCTAAACCAAAGTCTGAGATTTTAGGATTCATTTCTGCATCCAACAGAATATTGCTTGTTTTCATATCTCTGTGGATAATTCTCAACCTTGAATCTTCATGCAAATAAACTAGTCCTCGAGCAATGCCCATGATGATATTAAAACGCATCTCCCAGTTCACCAATAAACATTGCGTTCGATCTACCAATAGAGAAGAAAATGTCAAGATCAGAACTTTTACTTTAATTATGGTAAGGTAGAGGTGAGAAACTTGCCAAATATAAAGAAGTCTAAGCTTTTGTTGGGCATATATTCATAGATCAATAGTTTTTCTTCTCCTGCAACACAATAGCCTAAAAGTCGGACGAGATTTCGATGCTGAAGTTTTGCGATGAGAATCGCCTCATTCTTGAACTCATCCATGCCTTGAGCTGAACCCTGCGACAGTCTCTTTATTGCAACTTCCAGTCCTCCTGGGAAAAGTCCCTGACATACATGAACTGTTAGTTGTGTATAAACCAAGTAAACTGTTGAGAGCTTTTATGCAAACCTTGTAAACTGTCCCAAATCCTCCTTGTCCAATTTTGTTTGCTTCAGAGAAGTTGTCTGTAGCATTGAGTATGGTGTCCAAATAAAAAATGGGTACTTCTATGGCCTTTCTATCATCTTCTCCAAACATCCCGGAACCCATGAAGTCTCTGATACGCTTCTCACTTTCGTACAGGTGAGTAGCTTCCTGATTTCTCCAAAAGCTTCCTATTTGCTCTGTGTATAAAAGAAAAAATAAAAATAGTCAATCTTACTCTGTAACCGCCCAAGTCCACCACTAGCAGATATTGTCCTCTTTGGGTTTTCCCTCAAAATTTTAAAACGCGTCTACTAGGGAGAGGTTTCCACGCCCTTATAAGCAATGCTTTGTTACCCTCTCCAACCGATGTGAAATCTCACAATCCACTCCATTGGGAGCCTAGCATCCTCACTGGCACACCGTCTGGTATCTGGCTCTGATACCATTTGTAATAGTCCAAGTCCACCGCTTGCATATATTATCCTCTTTGGACTTTTCCTTCTAGCCTTCCCTTCAAGGTTTTAAAACGCGTCTACTAGGGAGAGACTTTCACACCCTTATAAGCAATGCTTCGTTCCCCTCTCCAACCGATGTGGGATCTCCCAATCCACCCCCCCTGAGAACCCAGCGTCCTCATTGGCACATCGCCCGGTGTCTGGTTCTCATACCATTTGTAAGAGTCCAAGTCCACCGCTAGCATATAATGTCCTCTTTGTTCCTTCTGGGCTTCCCCTCAACATTTTAAAACGCGTCTGCTAGAGAGAGATTTCCACATTCTTATAAACAATGCTTCATTCTCCTCTCCAACCGATATAGGATCTCACAACATCACTTCCCATCAAACTTTCTAAAAAAACAAGGTTATAATTTGTTACCTTTTTTATCTTGTACCTTCCTTCTTTTGTAGTAAATATACAGAACCAAGCAGGAAAGAATAATCAACCCAGCAATAGTCACTGGGACAATGATGCCAACTCTGATATTTCTCTGCTTTCCACGTGGCTGATTCAAACCATTCTCTACAAGAACATTAATTGCAATATTCAGGGACAATTCCTCTCAGTTTAATAAGAAGCTTTGTTTTGAAACCAAAAACTTGAACTCAGAGTATAATCTATTTAGTTATGTCAATACTTCAACGACTACCAATGTAGCCTCAATCATATACTAATAACAGCCTGATGGCACTCCTATTTGCAGTTGATTTGAATTTATGCATTGAATTACCTGTTGGTTTAAGGCATCCCATGCCAGTCCACTCTAAAGGAGGATTGCACAAGCATCTATTTGTATTTGTTCCATCAGTTGTTGATTTGCATGTTGAATTCAGCCATTTGGTGCAACCTCTTGGCGAATTGCAGATTGGTTCTAGTGGTTTCTCCCATTGAATATCAATTTCATTGAATTTAGAGTCACAGCCGCTGCTTACTTTGAATGTAGACGAGCGATCCAGTTTCAGAAGCTTTTGAATTGCATCTATATCATTTCCTCTGCAGATAGACCCGTTTGTTGCAATGGTAAAAGTTCTTAGTTGTGGGTTCATGTTGGTGACGTTGTAGTCATCATGTGCCGTGTGAAAGAGGACCTGACCAGCAGAAGTGTTGCAGCTAAAGTTACGATATAGAGGAACACCGCAGTCGAATTCTGTTCTCAGACTCAAAGGATAAGGCACGATGTTGCTGCCACATGGTTCACAATCGAGCTCTGTCAATTCTAAAGGAAACATCGAAACAGAGCAAAGTAGATTAGAAAGATTCTTGTCGTTCATAGTTGGATAAGACTAAACATAGATGAATTGGGAGTGAAAATACCAATGTCAGAACGTTTGATACGAATGTGAACGTCGCCACCACCATCTGCATATTCCCAAGTGTTTTCGAGGTCATCCTCCCAAATGATGCACACAAATTCGGCTCTGCTGTCTTCTATTTCAGCATACGCCTCACATGTACAAGATTCAAGGCACTTCCTTTCGCATTCCCCAAAATTTACTTTCACAATATTAGACGTTCTTTTCACCTTCATATTTAATTTCAAAAACTCTCCAGCTTCAACCACTTCTTTGATGCAAATTTCTGATTTTCTCTTGCACCCATGTGAGTAATCATCAGAATCCCATTCATCCTTGGACGTTGGCTCAAACCCAGGCAAGCACCTGCAAGTATGTTTAGTGTCACTCCGACAGCTAGCGAAGGTCCCACAAGCTGATACCACACTACATATGTTTTCCGGTTCCGACCAGATGACATCCCACTGCCCACTCGCTCTATTTCTAGCAAGGAACTGTACCTGCCCACTGAAATCCATAACTGCTCTTGTGTAGTTGTAATCCAAGTCTTGATTTTGAAAACGAACGGTGTAGTTGGTGGCCTTCAAATCACTGACACTAATCTTTGACAATAAGTCCATGGCTTCAGCAATATTTCCATCAGTCTCGGTTGAGAAATTTTGCCATAGTTCCTTGCCGACCCAATACTGCGAACCACTTTTCTCGATGACGAAGCGGCCTTCTATATCCTTGAGAAACGTAAAATTCCCAGGCGAGGGGTCGTCTGAAGCTTTCCAAGAAGTCAACTTCAAGTCGTCGGTCATGTTCATGCCCGGAAGAAACGTATCGGTTGGATTTTGGAAGCTTTGCCACAGAGTTGTGCTGTTGACGCCTAATTCCTTGAGAACTAAATTCCCAGAAGCCATCAGCTCCATTGTTGAATTAGGAGAGTAATCGAGGGCGGTGGACCATAAAGAAGTGCCGTTTGATGCCAATACCTTGAGATTGCCATCTTTGATAGCAAAAACTCCATTCTTGTCGGACAGTGGTTGGTCTCTGTTGGCAACCCACACAACGATCCGCGGTTTGGAATTATGAAACCAGATACCAACGTATCTTGTGGCTTCTGAGGCTCCCTCTGGAGTGAAGAATCCAAGTTCAAATCTTCCTCCATCAGAGACTTGAGAATCTTCATTACTGTCTCTTAATATATTGAAATTATCTGCGGAGGATGGAAGTAATAATAAGAACAAGATACATAATTTGAAGATCATGGCCGCTACTCCTCTCATATTCCATTACAGAACAGAGCACTTAGATAGCATCTTCTCCTTCAATCTCCTTCCATCAGCTGCTTAGCTTCACATATTGAACTGATCAAAGTGGTCTTTTCTTATTGAAAATTAAACAGTAATACCATATATCTTAGTCGTTCAGTGCAGACTCGCATAGCCACCGTATACCTATTCAAAAAATTCAGCCAAAGTCACCAAACAATAGGCATGTGGTAACTTTCTCTATATCAATGATGTTGATTTTGATGGTAGGTGACTATTTTTTTATATACAAAATATATTTTAATTATTTAGACAAATCATTATCATATTTTGTAAACAATTATTGGTTATTGCTTGCCTTTGTTTGAATCCATCCGTAGCATAAAAAAATCCCCAAAGCTACAAGAAAGACAAGATTACAACCGCTACTTGCCCAATAGTACATCGCCTTCCTCCTTGACTTGACTTTCCTAGCTACCAAGCCCTTCTTCAAATCCTTGCCAGAAGGACAAAAGGAAAGACTCTCTATAATACTACTTGAATAACGATAATCGAAGTGAAAAATCTTAAATAGAAAGGTTTAGCAACCGTAGGAGTTATTACTAATGCCAGAACCTGCCAAACTTACCAGAACCTTCTCCCGCAACAATCAAAATTTGACTTAGACAAGTATAAATATTAGGTATATATATAAAATGTCGAGAATTGTTGAGAGAAGTAGTAACACATTGGCTAATTAATAGGAATATCATGGATTTTCAAGTAAGGAATAATATCCCTATTGGTATGAAGCCTTCTGAGGAAACCAAAAGCAAAACCACAAGAGTTTATGTTCAAAGTGAACAATATCATACTACTGTGGATAATTGTAGCTTCTAACATGGTATCAGAGCCATTCTCTTCATTTAGCCATTTCTCAAATGTCGAACAAAGAAATTGTGAATCTCGAAAGTGTAGTTAAAAGTGACTCAAGTGTCAAACAATAGTATACTTTGTTCGAGGGGAGAATTATTGAAAATTATTGAGAATAGTCCCACAAAGAAGGAAGTCTCAAGGGAGGCTCTATGATATGCTTTGTTCAAAGAGAAAATTGGTGAGAAGATTATTGAGGAGAAGTCCCACAGAGAAGATGACCTTAAGAGAGTCTCTATGGTGTGTTTTGTTCGAGGGAGAATTGTTAAGAATTATTGAGAACTATCGAGAGGAGTATCAAGCCTTCTGTTAAAACCAAAAGCAAAGATATGAGAAGTAGGATCACTACAGGTCAGGTAATTAGCCAGAGGGTTAGGTAAGCTAAAATCATCGTTTACATTTTCTTGCATAAACTCCAAAGAGATTGTTGTAGAAGAAGTAGGAGTTGATCTCTTATCAAGGAAAGCTGGCTGTTTAGGAATTGGAAGAGAAGCAGGATCACTGCCGGAGCTGAGCATAAAGGCCACATTTGACATGGTGGGGCGATCGTTGGGGTCTTCTTGTACACACAGCAATCCCACAGCCACACATTTAACAACTTCACTTGGATTGTAGCTTTCTCGCATGGCTACCTCTGCTATTTCCGTTGCTCTCTTTCCTCTCCACAACCTCCATACCTGCGTACACCACCACCCAACAAACATCCAGTTCAAACTAAAGTAAAAGGAGTTTTGGATAGAAGCAACTTTATTGAAGAAGACTTATTCTAACATATCCAAGAAGATTCAGTGCTTCTTTCGACTGGTAGAACCCTGTGTTCCTTATCCCACTAACAATCTCCAGCACAACTATACCAAAACTGAACACGTCTGATTTCACTGAGAATGATCCATCCATCGCATATTCTGGGGACATATAGCCGCTGCAATATATGAACAACTTAAACATCAATTTGAATGTGGCTACAAGGATAGATATCAATTGAACTGGTGAAGGGAAATTTACTAAGTTCCAACAACTCTCTTGGTGAATGCCTCTGTTTGCTTGCCATCAAAGATTCTTGCCAAACCAAAGTCTGAGATTTTAGGATTCATTTCTGCGTCCAACAGAACATTGCTTGTTTTCATATGTCTGTGAATAATCCTCAACCTTGAATCTTCATGCAAATAAACTAGTCCTCGAGCAATGCCAATGATGATATTAAACCGCATCTCCCAATTCACCAGCAAACATAGGGTTCGATCTACCAAAGAGAAGGAGTTTGGAAGCTTAGCTTCAAGTGTAATCATCAAGGTAATTAGGTAGAGGTGAGAGACTTGCCAAATATAAAAAAATCTAAGCTTTTGTTGGGCATATATTCATAGACCAAAATTTTTTCATCTCCTGCAACACAATAGCCCAAAAGTCTAACGAGGTTTCGATGCTGAAGTTTTGCGATGAGAATCGCTTCATTCTTAAACTCATCTAAGCCTTGAGCGGAACCTTGGGACAGTCTTTTTATTGCAATTTCCAGTCCTCCTGGAAAAAGTCCCTGTTATGCAGAAACTGTTAGTTGTTTATAAACCAAGTTAATTGCAGGAAAACTGTTATGCAAACCTTGTAAACTGTCCCAAATCCTCCTCGTCCAATTTTGTTTGCTTCAGAGAAGTTGTCTGTAGCATTGAGTATGGTTTCCAAATCGAAAACGGGTACTTCTATGGCTTTTCTATCATCTTCTCCAAACATCCCGGAACCCATGAAGTCTCTGATACGCATCTCACTTTCGTACAAGTGGGTCATTACCAGATGTCCCCCAAGACTTGTTGTTTGCTCCTCTAGTATTAAGAAAAATAACCAGTCGGTGGATGACCCAGTACATCACATTACATCAAAACTAAGAAAGAAGTGCAAATTTATGTTACCTTTTGTGTTTTCTACCTTCCCTCTTTTATTGTAAATATACAACACCAAGTAAGAAATAACAATCAACCCAGCAATGGTCTCTGGGACGATGATACCAACTCTGATATTTCTCTTCATTGGATCTGGCTGGTTCAAACCATCTTCTACAAGTACATTGTTTGCAATGATTATGAACAAAGAGTCTTAGTTTAATGATAAAGTACAAAAAAAAAAAAAAAAAAAAAAAAAAAAAATTTTTGG